CATTATGCTAATGAATTGTTATTCCTAATCGCACCTCTTGTTTTTCCACATCAATAACATGAACTCGATTCCCAGGACTGTCGCTGAAGAAAATCAGTTCATCCTTAACAGAAATAACTCCTCCAAAAGAACACTTTTTCCTAGAATAACGAGAAAACAGAATCATTATTGAAAAGCACAGCGTGTTTACGTCGGGGAAGATTCGTTCCACTTGACGCTCTGTCGTTTGGTCGAATTGTCTGTACGGAAATGTCGGTAAATCGGGATATTTCTATTTAAATTCTCTTTAAATTTCTATTTAAATTCTCTTTTAATGTCTGTTTAAATTATTTTTTTTTTACACAAAGGTTTACAGCCTTACCTGGAAAAGCGATTGTTTGACTTAGTGCAGATATCATCAGTGATATTATGCAAAACTTTTTTGCTCCTCGGATCAATGATTTCAACGCCCTCGGATCCAAATACGTAAACTAGGTGTTCGGATGTATTTGACAAGACTGATGCTTCTTTTACACTAAAACAAACTAAAACGAAATGAAGCAAAAGTTAGTGTGAACAGAAAAAACACTTCTGATAGGAGGCAAAATTTTTTTTCCGTAAACGTTACTTTGTAGCGGCTTGTCGAAAATCACACATTGAGTGGAAGACATACACCTAATCCGATGATAATATATACAATACGTGCGGATATCGGCGTGTTGCGTATTATTTTTTCGAGCCCCGTTTTTGTGTTTTTAGCACGTTTTTCCGAGCCCCACTTTTTAATCCTGTGATCTACTACTGTTCAGACGCACGGCAACATGGAATCTGGGATTTTTCAATGATGTAGCTCCTTTAACTATTTCTCTAACTATTAACTTTAACTATTTAACTAAGTTACTCGAAACAATCTCCAGCTCTGGGAGGTTACGTGTTCCAGGTTTCGATGATTCATGGTTTCGTGGTAATCAGAGACAAACAGGCTCCGGGCATAGTTACAGGGAACAATCTTTGGGAAATGAATGTTAAGAGCTCGGAATAGAATAAAAACCTGGGGTAAGGATTGCGACGTCTGTGAACAGAGTACCATAAGTATGAGATTAGAGAGGCTTTTAGAAAAATCCTTAAATTAGTTCATATGAATTCTGTCGAAAATGACCGTGGAATCGCCCCCAGCTCAATCTTAAGGCTAATATCAATCGTACGAGACAACAGAGACTACTCTTTGAACGCGCGGAACAAACAATCAACGCAGTGTAATATGTTGAAGAACAGCATAACACCATGTTTGTAAAGACTTACCAGTTGCAACAAAAGTAAATCCAAGAAGGAAAACCTTTGCTGAAAGCATTTTCAACAGGTGTTGGCTCGATTTGATACGAGAATCTGTAAATGTGGTGGTGAATTTTAAGACTGGCCGCTCCTGGAGACAGGCAAATGTTAAAAATAAACATACCTTAAATGGTTTTGTGACGTACTTTTATGTTTTGCAATATCATTTGTGGCAAAGTCACGCTATCGTCAAATCGCACTCGCGCTTTTATTGGGAAAGGATCAAGTCGAACCTCCGACGATCAGTCGACAACAAATTACAGAGCACAACTTACATGGGATAGATGAGCCACAAAAGCCCTTTTGCAACGAAGAGAAATTCTTGTTATTTTGTTGCTTCGTGCAGCTAAAAACGAAACATTACATCATATACTATACTTGGGTCTTATAGAAATTTTGACAAGCTCGACCGAACTTTCAGTAGGTTGGATAAAAATAAGCATATTTAAAAATATTGTCAAAAGCACTTGAGATTTGGTGACAACTACTCATCTTCAACTTCAATGTTATTGAAAAGTGTTTCTTTTAGTCAAGGTTAAAGACTTTTGAAAATTCCCTCATTTTCTAAGTCTGATAGAGGGAGTTTCCTGGTTTTACCTGTCTTTTCTAGTTCTCGACTTCTTTAAACCTGAAGAAAATCTCTTAAAGTAGTCGTGTTGTTGTTGTTGTTTTTTGTAGCCCTTACGCAAGTTTTAAGATTGATGTGTCTGCGAGTCCGCATCCGCATATGTAGTTTTTAAATTTCGGCCAACTGTTCCGAATTCGGGAACATAAAACAATAGTCCGGCCAACTGTTCCGAATTCGGGCCTCTCGGACCCGAGTCCAGCGCGTTAACCGTTTTCCCCTTCTTGTCATTACTAGTGGTTGGCTGATCACATGAAACAGAAAATGAAGAAGAACTGAAACGACACGTGTAGACTCTTGATACCTTCCGCATCTAATTACATATTTAAATCAAAGAACTCAACACAAAGAAGCTTCTTAAACTTCCAACATGGAAATAAAGCAAATTTTCATAACAAAAACGGTATTTTCCGCCCAAAAAAAGTTTTATTTCAACTTTACTAAAGTTCGTAAATTAACAAAAACCCTTCGTTTTAAATAAAAGCGCCCTGATTTTACACTCAGTTACCACGAAGACATCGTTTTCTTCTATAGGGAAGATATAAGATATCATGTTTTCGGAACAAGATAACTTTTGATATTTTATCAATATCTGAACAGTTGTTTAACCGAAAGTGTAGCAAAGATAGATAAACGAATAGAAACTACGTGTGTGGGTTAAGCTGATATAAGGATATCGATCGGACGAAGATGAATTATAAAAGATCATTGAAGTTGCAAAAGTATCAAAGAAAGAAGTGAGAGCAAAGCCTAAATTCAGTGCTTCTGTTGTTTAGAGCACTGCATCAGTATCACGGAATGTTTATACGTAAAAACTCGTTTATACAGTGCACTAAAGCTGTGAAAGTGGCATGATAACACTGATACAACGGCCCATGACAACAGACAAAGAATTCGCCCTGTTGGAAAAACTTCTCAGATCTCACCCTAAATAAAGATACCAAGCTAGTGTGGCTCTCTCGGAATAAAACAACGTTCAGTTTTGACTCAAACGTTTATTTTCAGAGCGGCCTCTAGAAGCCTGCACTTGGTCAGCGGTATTCGTTGTTTGCCGGCGCGCAGTCTACTCTCCTTTTATGATAACGTCATTCTGGTCATGGTTAAGCTACCAGTCCCAGACCCATGGAGAAGAATTATTATACGCAGATGGCAAGGCATATCTAGAAGATATATTTTGCAGTTAACATCATGTTATTACTGGTTTGTGCAAAAGTTGACTTAATTTATTTGAGTTAGATACGTTGATCAAAGTTAAGGGATTGGTAAGTACTCGTCTCGCTCTGTTTATTTTGGCTCATTTTGAGTACTTTTTTAGAACATCACAGGCCAAGAGAATGAAAGCGGTAAATAGAACAAGGGAAATCAAATTACTGTCAAGCATCCTTACCTGTATGGAATTCTGCCGTTACTTGTCGTTACAATAATCATTGTATCCATATACGTCACGTCTTTTCCAATCTAACCTAGGGAAACTAGCATTGCTTAATAGAAAGCGGATATTTACTGCGGATATTGCGGCAACGAAACGTTCAGGGGGTCTGGTTTCTATCTTCTTGCCATTTTAATCTTGGAGATGCAATAAAGTGAATTCGTAATTAAAAAAAAAAAACAGTGAAATTCTTGAGTCTGACCAATGGACCAATGAAACTAGGCAAACCCCATTGCATCTATAAAAGCGAAAACATGCATACAAATTTAAGAAACCTTAAAAATCCTCGTCAACCGTGAGTATTACGAGTACACTTTCTCTAAAACAAGTATCGTTATGCTCAAAGCTCCCTTTAAGGCGATCACGAT